AAAAAGATGAAAAGCCTTCTACAAAAGGACACGAGACAAATTCTTACCTTCTTTTTTGTAATAAGATAATCGAAGTGCACAAGGGTCAGCTTGACAAGCTCACTTGAATCTGGCAGCCAAGTGAGCTTCAACTTTGTCTTCTTAACATTTCCTTCAAGATTCAAAACACCTTCCAACTGGGTGACAATTCCATTTTCGTCCTTCTTGATATCCTTCACAATTGCATTGCCCCAGTCCTTCAAAGTGACTTCCTCATTCACCGAGATCGATACAGCATCGGCGTAGTCTATCCATAATCTGTTCGAGTAAGTCACAGGTTTTTCACCAGCACCTTCAAACTTCTTATGTTTAGCTAAAATGCGGACAAAGGGGTCCTTTGGGCCATCAGTTAGAACAAGCAATACACGTTTTTCTTCATTAACTGCAGTATGCCTGGGACACACAGGATCAATTATCTTCTTGTTAATGGCCCATAGTTTATCCCACTCCATGAGATTGAGGTTCTTTGATGCACCCTGACCGGTCAAAAAGATTACAAATTTAAATAACACTGAAGTTATTCACCACAAACACACCCAAACATCAAGACAAAATATATAGATAAAGAAAGTAAGCAAATAAACTAAATAGCAAATTTCAACCCTTATGCATCAACAATTACCCACTGCATATATTTATGGCTGACAAGAAATACAACTCAATCTAGCAGCAAGTAAGAAAAATATAAAAAATTAAAATAAAAGAAATTTTAAACCCTTTTTATTCTTTATTAACATTTACCAACTAGACTAGTTATGAATCATACAAAACACAACTTACTTGCTCCAAAATAAATTGAATCAGTGCCTCAATCTTCAGCCCTCTCCGCACTATTCCTTGAACAGTAGGAAAACGGGGATCGTCCCAGCCATCGACTTTTCCATTCTGCACAAACCACAGCAGTTTCCGCTTGCTGAGAAGTGTATAAACCATATTCAGCCGACTAAATTCGTATATATGAACCTTCCTGAATCCCATATCCGTCTGAATTCTATAATACTGATCATTACGGTCATGGTACTCGCTCGACCTCAGCGCATGAGTGATGCCCTCCACGGCATCCACAAACGGGCAGCAAAAGTCATATGTTGGGTACAGCTTATACTTAGAACCAATCCTGTGGTGAGGAGTCAAATTACAACGGTAATAAACTGGGTCCCTTAGTGACTTGTTTGGGTCCTTCATGTCCAACTTCCCACGAAGGCAGCACATCAAGCCCCTGGCCGAGCCGGAGATCATTTCCCTCCACAGTTTAAAATTATCATCCACACTATGATTCCTGCATTTTGACTCTATACCTTCCATCCTCTCGTGCTGCATTTGCTCGCGTGGAGTATCATCAACGTAGGCCTTACCCTCTCCAATTAACTTTTCGGCCATATCCATGAGCTTCGGGAAGTAATCCGAAGTATATGTCACTGCACTATATTTAATCCCCAAAGTCTCGATGTCTTTGAGGAGATTATCAACAAACTCGCTGCTTTCCTTGTCCGGGTTCGTGTCGTCAAATCTCACGATGACCTGGCCCTTGTACCGCTCAGCAAAGTATTGGTTTAATAAAGCGGCCTTGGAGTGGCCAATGTGAAGGTAGCCACTGGGCTCTGGAGCAAAACGTAATTTCACCTTCCCAACCTCCGCATGAGGAAGGTCCACCTCCGGGGCTCGATTGGCGGGTGTATCAGTTGTGTGGGCTACATTATCAGTTGTTGCTAGCTGTGAATTTGAGGCTTGAGTGTCTCTTAACTTGGGGGCTGGGGCCCTGGCCGGGCCTTTCTTACCGAGATATGTTGTGACAAGTTCAGTCAACACGGGATCATGCTCAATGGATATTGAGTTGAACCACCTGACTAGGTTTTGGTACTTCTTGGATTTCCGAAGGCTTTCCCATCTCGGGCCGGCTCCTGAAAGTGGAGAAAAAAGGTTAAAAAAATGACTAAGAAAAAAGAGAAAATCGATGTCCTAAACAATATAGAACGGCCGTGACCAAAACGACTGTATCAAACAAATATTGAGCAACCAGAGACAAAACGTAGGACATTGAGATAATATAAAACCACTGATTTTTGTGACGGGTCAATTGGACACTAAAGAATACAGGAATAAAAAAACACCAGAATTGGTGATTCGGTTGCATAAAATCAGAAACTTTACCTGCAAGACTAGCCCAGATTGCAGCATCTGCAATGGACAGGCTATTACCAACCAAAAATGTATTTTTAAGTAGATATTCATCCACAAAGCTGCATGCGCCCTCAAATTCAGATCCTGAGCCAAAGACAGGAGCATAATCGATCCATTCATCGATCTATAAAACAAAAAAAATTGGTTGCTAAAAAATTATGAAAGTTAAAATAAATAAGCAAAGAAAAAAAGACAGTAGTCTGGTAAGAATGAGAATCAGAAAAGATATAAGCAGCAGAAACAGTTCAAAAAGGGCACCTGGCTCGATTGATAAGCATCCTGCCCATAGAAATTGCTATTTCTCGCAATCCTACCAATATATCTCAGGATAACGTTCGCTCCACACAACCTTCCCCTGAAATTTTTTTATCCCCCAAATCAACTTCACATTAATATAAATATCGAGATCCAACCAAAGTTGCTACACAATTCCCTCTTTAACACCTATAAATGCCAGTGCAGTGTCTATTAAACCAAGTTTATAATTCCAATCCTACTTCATACCCACAAAAACCTGTTCCGTGGCCAATTGAAGTTGTTAGCTCTTAGAGCATTAACAAGACCAACTAAGTAGGATTCTTGGATTTTTTTTTTCCCTTTTCCTCAGTGCCTTTTAGATCTTCTCAGAGCAGGAAAAACAATCAAGGACAGGAAGTAAGTCTTGTCCGAATATACCAACGGCTAAGCTACAATGTTCCTTCCAGTGTTTAGCTCAAAAACTATTCCAGCTCCAAAACCAGAGACATGAATGCATCAATAACTAGAATAACACTAAGCTTGTTGAAAAGGGAAAAAAAAAATTACGTAAATTAGAATCCTGACGCTCTGAAAAAGGAATAATGAAGGATAACTACCCGTTCGCCAGAACAAGGGTCGGCGGGGAGCCGGATTCCAGTGAAGGTTTGGGGGTTAGAGACACCCAACCTAAGTTGGCGGCAATGATCGCAGAGAGCGGAGGAGAACCCGCCGGAAAAAGAAGCTCCATGGTTGGTGCAGTTGAACCGCGGCGTATGAGAGAGAGTAAACGTAATTGAAGAAACGAATGAGTGAGAACCTGCGCCGCCGGGCTAATTGAGCGCAACTGCGTCTGCGTAAGGGGATATGTGTGTGTGAGGAACAATGGTTATAAAGACGATTTTACCCTTTGTAAACAAAGATGGCCAGGGTTGGCCCGGAACTACGGGTCATGGAACCGGACCCGTGGTAAAATGGGTCGGTTCCGGGTCTTAGTTTTTTTTTAACTTGTTAGTTCTTGGTCGAAAGACTAGTCCGAGTTGTTTTTTGTTAAAAAAACCGACGGTTCAATGAATCGTCGGTCATGTTGGTTCCGGGTCCAGCTTTTGAGGCCGGCCGGGTCATGAACCGCGGCCCGCCTGATTGCCATGCCACCCTTTTAGTTTCAACTATAAGCCACTATCACTTATTGAAATGGAGAATAATTATAACTAAATCAATATAAAGAAAAGAGTTTAATGTCATTTGTGTACCGTAGTCGCTCCTCGATGAATCAATTGGAATTGTTATTTTTTATGGATCTTAGAGGATGGCCCTATAATTGCTCTACTGGCCGATCTACTAGTCCGTCTCTTTTGAGAGCGATTATCCGATTCAATTATTTTCTCCTTTTTATTCTCTTCTCTTCGAGATATTGCGGGAGAGGCCTTTTGAGTCTTTTGATTTCTTTAATTTGCTCATCTTGTAGATTTTCTCAATAAAAAGATAATCATGCTTCTCTCTCAACATCCAATTCTATTTGTTCCTTATCGTTGGTCTATCACCGGCCAACGTGAATAAGTGAAAAATTGTACCTTAATACTATGAGAAGACCACATCAAGACCGCATCGGCACTCTCCTTACATTCGAAATCACATTGGCATTCTAAACTGGAGTTATCACATTGTTGATATCAACAATCAACACCGATATTTGTTTCTACGAGCAGATAAAAGAAGTGTGGCTAAAAATTATAGCGTGGAGAAAATAAGAGAGGGGATAAACCAAAGACTAGTAACTTAGTTTCATATTCATTGTGAATCTAAATTTTGATCATGTTCTTCTTCTTTGTGAGTAGTTCCTCCTTGTGAGTGATTCTAAATTTCATGAAGAAATACTCAAAACCGCGTAAGAACTTTTCGATCATTTGAAATACACTATAACGAAATATTTTTTGTTATAACAAAAACCTTTTATGCATAGAATGTCAAAATCCCACTATCCGAATATCAATAATTTATGTTCATGATATATTTTTTTTTTATTTGAATAAATTAAAAATAAAGTATGTTGCACTTTGTTTGTATTTTTAATAATTCGCTTCAAGTCGGATTGTCGAATCTATAATCTGTGTTTGTATTTTAAAAAAATAATATTAAGTGATATTGTCCAATCTAAAATTCCATCAAAGTTGTTTTTTTTTTTTAATTCTCCGCCAAAGATCTAAAATATTGGAGAGAGAGAGAGATAATCAATAATTTATGTTCATGATATTTTATTTTATTTTCTTAAATCTATATATATAATAAGAATTATCATTTATCATAAATAGTAGTAAGAAAAAGTCAAACCACATTTATTATATACTATTTTCAGTAATTTTTTATTTTACATTTTAATTTTAATTCATTCTCAAAAAATCGAGTGGTTCCTAAATTAATGGGTTTTAGATGCACGTGTCCTATTTCAAAAATTATAAATCATTTAAAAATCGGATGGTTCTGAAATTAATGGTTACAAACTTTTCAAAGTTTTGATCTTTATATGGCATCTTTTCTTTTTGACTTTAAATAATTAAATCATTTTATATTCTAATCCAAAAATTCAATCAGGTTAAATAACATAAAATAAACTCATCTAAATTATTTTAAATGTAAATATGCGATTTCAAATAATCAAGTTAAATAACATAAATAAAATCAACCTAATAACTCCAACAGTTAAATAAGCAAATATATAATTTAGAATATATAAACGTCAATAGTGAATTGATTGTAACTATTTCAAACACATCCAATATTCACGTGTTTTTTAAGCAAAAGATAACATGCATATAATTTTTTGACAAATATATATAATTTGTTCAAATCGATTATGGTGAAAACACGTACAATCGAATTCTCATTCAGACATATTATTCAAGATAAGAGTTTGGTATGTTGAAAACTCTAAAAATCCTATTCCCATTCAAACATATTATCTTAAATCCTACTAGATATACATTAAATCTAACTCTATATCTATATAAACTAGTATCTTCACCCGTGCGATGCACGGAACATATTTATTAAAATATTTTAATAAATACATTAATATATATATATATATATATCATGAAAAGTAAATGACAAATAAATAACATTATTATTGAATAGATAGTAAAAGTACAGTTTTATATGGTATTACAAATTTAGAAAAATTTCTC